AAGCTATAAATACCGTTCTCACGCTAGCAATCTATGAACACTCCGAGGTACTTTCTTGCCATGGTAAATCGCTAAGTTCCTAGGGGAAAATTAAGTCTGGCTGGAGCGACATATTGCTCCTAACAGTAATTCCCTAAGCATGGGCCCTAGCAATTAACAGAGTGTGCATGCAACCTTCTTCTAACATGATAGTATGTAATTCATGCAAACTAGGCATACCGGCTCAACGGGGCGATGACCTCCATCAAGCACCCAGAGAACGAAGTTCACGCTCAATGGGGCGAATTCGTCCATAAGCACCCGGAACACAGCATACACAATTCTAACATAAATTAAACGCAGACATACATACGGCAGAAGTTTAAAGCATACAGCAACACTAATGTAATTCACCCAATACAATCATAACAATTAATCTAACTAATAATTTACATGGAGAGCTAATCTGAAGCAAAACTACTAACATGCATGCAATCCAAGCAAATCCTATAAGTATTTCTTCCTAAATACCGGGTGGTGACTTACTTGGTTGACGTGTGCCTTTTTTCTAGCGTTTCTTTGCTCGTGAGGTGTCTAAAAATATTGATTTCTTTAAATTAGGTCCCTATTCACGTAAAAACAGTATTAGAACTGGAACTGGGACAAAAATCAGGCAAACAGAGAGCAACTGAGCCAAAACGATCGGTCTCGTTCGGCTTGGCTCGGATCGCGTTTGCGGTTCGACTTGGCTTTGCAGGCGACACGTGTCGTCACCTCGCTGGAGTTGCGTTGCTCCAGCCGACGGTTGACACGTGTCCGGCGCCTGTTGCCAGCCGACCCCTTTTTTTTCTTCTTCTTTCTTCTCTGTCTTCTTAAATCTGTAACACAATCCCCTTTTCCGATTTTCATATCTTTCGATCCGTAGACCGGATCGATATGATTTCTTCAGCAAAGTTCTAGATCGTGTTATGGGCTACGTCCTAGTATTTTTTTTGTAATTTTTTCTTGACTACCAGACGAATTAAGAACGTCGGAAGTTCGCTCACCGTTCTCAGACGATTCTCGGGTCTCTGCCTTCGGGTTGATGTCTCGGCCAAACTTCTTCACAGACCGTGCGTGAGTTGTTCCTAGGTGAAGATTTCAGCATTTTAGGATCGATTCACGTAGGGAAGACTCAGATCTGAGAAATGTCGTTCAGAAACCTTATCTCCCGAAATGTTCTTGGGTCTTGACAGAGCGTCGACCTCGCTAACCTCTCAATCCTTGTACAAGTCTCGTCTGAAGATGGATTCCGACGGTGTTCCGTTAACCTTCACGACTGACTCCTCTTCAACTTCTCTCTAACTCCTTCTTTCTTTTGCAGGGGTCTGACGGGGTTCTCCTTGGACCCCTATTAGGGCTGGAGGGGCAAAATGACATCTTTGCCCCTCAGTTGACTTAGTTTTTTTTTTTTTTTTTCTCTCTCTCTTGGCGTTACAGATAGTTAGACTAAAAGGAAACTAAATGGAAATCTCCAAAACAATTACTAGAGAGTACAACCATACATCATATGCCAATTCTGTAGTTATTCAAACCCTGGTACTTGAGCCGAGTTTACAATTAAGAACTATTTGGCGAGCCCTTAATCACCATCGTATGACTATATAAAATCGCATGCATATACAATGGAGACATAGCATAGCGACCTACACATGGATACACAGTCATAGTTCACTTCAGAGTTTAGTTCGTTCATTACTTGGGAAACGTGCACAAATAATGCTCAACATGCTCTTATATACTGAGTGAAAGAAGTAATAGTCCAGGAGAGTAGAAGATCGAGAATAAAACACCTATTTAACGAGTTCAAGAAGGGAAGGGAATAGAGGTTCAGGTTCAGTCGCTTTACCTTGTTCAAGAGTGAAAGAAAAATCAATCCTCCTTCAAGAATAAAGAGGAGCGCAGAAAATCTCCGGATAGGTGTCGGATCCTTAGAAAATTTCAAAATTTGCCAAACTGCTCAAATAGGTCTTACAAGATGGACAAAATGCGTGAAATGGACAGTTTGGATCGATTTGATGAACGCACGAAATCGTACCTATCTTACCTATCTTTGACTCCTACAAAGCTGATGCAACAAAAACAAGTTTAGATTCATCCCAAGGAGTAAATTCAAGCTCAAAAGTTGCATTCTTACTTGCGGATTCGTGATTCTTGGTCGAGGCTTCTGAGCTATTCTCCTCCAAAAATGGTTCCATAGACTTGTCTCTCGTACTCTACTGATCCTTCCTCTCCAAAATCGCTCTTTAACTTCTCAGCAGTTATGAAGTATTTACACAAAGAAAGTATTTCTCAACTTCTCCAAAATCGCTCTTAAACTTCTCAGCGGTAAATAGAGAAATTTTACCAACCATTTAGATGGGGTGGTTTCAACAAATATTCTCACTTTCTACTTGAATGAAGTATTTGCATGACCTTTTTTGGGGGATTCCATTACTTTTATTATGATTCGGATCAAAAGATGACGGGATTATATTGGATAAGGATGACATGGACAAGGGACACGCTCACGTGAGGTCGACTAGAGAAATAATAGAATTAGAGGTTGGTCCTTAAAATTCTTTAGGGCTTTAGTTTGGTTAATTAAAAATTGGGGTGTGGAAAATTAAATTAGGTAATTTTAAGCAGGAAAACACATAGAATATATAAAAGGAAATTAAAAGACGATGGGCATCAACATTTTGAGGGAGTTATTGCCAATTATTTGTATAAATAAAGATGTCATCCGCATCACTTGCCCTTCCTCTCACACTGTTTTGAATAAAACTCCAAATAGGAAGGGTTTATCCAACCCTACCTTTCTTTGCCTACCTCAAATTATGAAAATATTTATATCCATTTTGTAATTTTTCTTTTCTTTTTTTTCTTTTTTTTTTTTAAATGATTCGCCTCAGCCGACGTTCTCCCTAAATTAATATACGTTAGCTTCCATTTCTCAAAAGTTGTTCTAGGTGTCGTCGAAGTTCGCTTCTTGTTAGGTAGTTTATCGCTTTCGTTAGTATTTCATAATTTTAAGTTATGAAAGTTGCCTAAGCCATTTTTGAGCGAAGAATTGGAGTGGGCTGTGGGTTTGAGTCGGACCCAGACCCAGATGCCGTTTCTCGTCAATTTTCTTCCCCAATTTAGACTTTTTATTTTTTTTATTTTTTTTTTATTTTTGTTAATTTAGTGGATGGTAGAGTTGTTCATTTAGTAGCATCCTTGAATAGTGTTGGCCATAAGAATCCGAATTGTAAGATTTTTATTGTTGTTATTTGTCTTTCAAAATGTGTTCCACAGGGAGAAGAAGGACATCCCTACTATTCACCACCACTATTCACCACCACTATTCACCACAATGTTACGGATTCAAGTCTCACCTAAATAATTGTTTAAGTTAGGAGAACAAAAATGATTCCGATGGGTCAAACTAAGAAGGTTCTTAAGTAAATATGGTAACTTATTATGTGTTTTATAATTGCATAGAAGAATGTAGGATGAGACAATCCAAATTGGGTTTAAGTTAAAAGATTAACCTGCTTTTTTTCTTATGTTTCCACTTCCATTTGATTATTTAGACATTAGACATTAAAAAATGATATGAAAAAAAAAAGTAATCTAAAATCATAAATCAATTGTGTGAATCATTAAGATGAGGCCCTTAGAAGAAGAAGGAAGGGAAGAAAGAGATCATTTCCAAACCAACTTTCCACTGTTGCCTAATCAATTGTCACACTCGTTCTGATCAGATGGTTTTCATGGGAGGGGTCCGCACATACATTTTGTGCCCCACAAAGGCATAGCTGAGGCTTCAATTTGGTTGTGTTTACGGTGCCATTCTTCTTTGATTGCTCACATACAAGGCCTCCTTCATTAACTAACCTCACCTCCACACCTCAAAGCCTCCGCCATTAACAAACCTAACTCTTTGCTTTAGATTAGTGTCAGCTACGCCTCTTCCTTTTTCATTCTCTCCTAAATTAATGTATCAACTCTTATCTTCTTTTGGACATCTTCCACTTTCTTATTTATGCCTTCACTTCCTTTTCTGTCCAGATTTCCCTTCATTCCCTTCATTCCCTTCATTCCCTTCATTCCCTTGATTGATTATTTATAGTTTTCTCCATTCTTTTTTTCCCTATTTCGTCAGGTTTCATGGAGATAATGCAACTTGATAGGCTTCTGGGAAAATTTTGAAAAAACGAAACTTTTAAACATGGGATTTGATGATAAGTAAATTTATCACAACCGTTTTGTTCACGTTCTCATTCATTTTGGTTATTAACTCTCTTGCTGTACCTATACAAACGCTTATCTAGCATTGTTTGAGGTGTGAAGTCATTTTCATTTTGTATTTGACTAAAGTCAATTGAGAGAAACTTTGTAAGAGAGACTTTGTAGTGTGAGAGTGTGACAGATACACTTGTAAACACTTTAGTTACCGTGATTAGCTACCACCTGTGGATGTAGGTGAATTTCTTCTCTCCAAAATCACGTAAATTTTTGTGTCTCTCGATTTAGTTTCAGTTTGTGGGTGTGTGAGTGCAATGAATCTTACTTCCACTTCCGCTACAACAATTGGATATCAAATCACTAAGTTGTCACAGACAACAAGTGGAGAATGAATTGGAGAAGAAGTATATAGAATGAAGGGAAGTGTAAATGTGAGAGAGTGAATCAACAGTAGGGAGAGTTGGTCTTACAGTCAAAGAAAGCGCTGTCTCTGTCTCTATCTCTATCCCTATCTCTATGATTGTGTTGAAAAAGAAAGAACAGTAGTAGTAGTAGTAGTGGTGATAGGTTAAAAAAGGTTAAAAAATGTGAGAAACCTGTCGGACCTGAACCCACGTGAAGTGTCACCACTCAGATGCTGCTGCTGCACTTTTATGCCTACTTTTGTTTCCCTATTCACTCACCAATTTACATCCCTTTCTTTCTCTCTCGCATTCACTGCAAATGCACCCACACGCCCTATGCCTTCCTATCATTCCTATCCACTCACTCCCACACTCCCCTCTCCCTCTCCCCCTCCCCTGCCCCCATCTCCCAATACCCACTCAGGGCTCATCTCCCATCATGAACCCAAACATGTTTGGTTCTAACAACAACACCCAAACTAATCACATTGCTTTACAACATCAGGAACAACATGAGCGCAATCTGCATCTACATTTCCCACATCCTTTTCTCGACCAGGATGACCTGTTTTTAACCCACATTTTGTCGTCCCAACACTTCTTCATTGGCGCGGATTGTTGGGGAGAACAAGAACAAGAACAACATCATGATCAGACAAAGCAAAATTCGGAGAAGCCTAGGATTGAGGTAGTGAAGAAGAAGAAGAAATGCAGTGGTAATAGAAAAAATGGAAGCTCCAGAAAGAAAACAGGGAAGAAGGACAGACATAGTAAGATCTACACAGCACAGGGCCCAAGAGACCGTAGAATGAGGCTGTCCCTTCAAATTGCGAGGAAATTCTTCGACCTTCAAGACATGCTAGGCTTTGACAAAGCGAGCAACACCATCGAATGGCTTCTCTCTAACTCAACCTCCGCAATTAAGGATCTCCAACACAGCTTAGCCAACAACAGCGGGCATAGGTATGGCAGTGTGTGTTGTGGGTCGACCGAGGCCGTGTCAGAGATGATTAGGGATAATAATGGTGGTGGCGGAGCTGCAAAAGAAGCTGCTTTTATGGCCACTCCCAAACACAAACAGAGCAGGGCATTACGTAGGGTGGGCAGAGAGTCGAGGGATAGGGCAAGAGCTAGGGCAAGGCAAAGAACAATGTTGAAAAAAATAAAACAACCCATTTCCAATCTCCAAGATGTGAGCTCAGTTGTTGCCATTTCTGATGATCTCTGGGATTTTGCATCAATCCAAAGTATTTTGTGAGGTAATCATAATTCCCCATCGCAAAACCCCGATTCTTCTTCAACACTTGCTTGCCCTAATCTTAAATAAATAACCCTAATTCAAAGGGTGTGTATCATTATCCAGATCTACCTTCTTCCATCTGCTTCATTCATCATCATGAGCCAACACTTGTTTAATTAAAGTGGATTTCTTTCATTCTTGTTCATCAAATTCTCTACTACCATTTCATAAATTGTGTACAAAGCTGTTGTATTCTATAAAATTCAAAGTTTATCTGAAAAGTATGATGCAGCATATGGCTTGCGGTGTCTGGGCTTTGATGTATGTTCGTTCTACTTCAATTGCAGCGAAACAGCACAAAATGGGAAAAGACTCAAATCTTAGCCCTCACTGTGAGGGAAACTGAGACGTAGGGTTGATACTTAATCTTCATTGCAATCAAGCCTTATACTCATGTGGGAACTCCAATTTTAAATTTTCATTTCTTCATTAATTAGGATTAGTATAAATCTACATTTTACACTTTTCTTTTTTAAAATCTTCCTTTTACATCAACTTTATTTCATTTGATTCATTTGTTGATTTAATTTTCTCTCACTTTTGTTTTTATAATTAAACAATGATTAAAATTATTTTTTAGAGACCCAATTTCTAAATGAGGTAGAAGAGAATAATGTTTAGAAAAATAACAAGAAAATAATGAAAAATGGAGAAAATCAGTCAAAGGTAAATTGGTCTTTTTGACCCACCTTTCCTAATTAGGGGTCTCAAAGAACCCTAGTCATTGAAGAGGAAAAAAGAAAAGTAATAAAAGTAGTACATGACGTCAGTATTTTAAAAAAAAAAATAGTTAGTAACTGACCCAATTATTGAGGTTAAATGCAAACACATGCAATTTCATGAATGAAACCTATAATAATAGTCTATTTTACTTAGGCGGCTATCTTAAATGGACTAATTGGATCTGTATTTACGGTTCTACATATAGTCTACATGTGTGAGTATGGACCCACACGTGTGAGTGTCTTAAGGAATAAAAAAAGAACAAAAACAAAAATTAAGGCTAAGAATCAAGAGCTAAGAACCAAGGTTAGATCAAGAACATGGATCAACACCTAAGTTCTCAAGACTAAGAATCCATAACCTCAAAACTAAGGTCCTTGGATCAAAACCAAGTTTAAGAACTCAAAACCCAACACCAAGGTCCTTGGGCTAGATCATGACAAGAACTTAGAACTCAAGAACATAACCTAAGGGCCTTAAATTCTCAAGACAAGAACAAGCACATGATAAGAAAAAGTGTAGCACCCTAGCACACTTCAAGGATCGGATTAATAGCCTACAAGTAGACTATTTACTTGTCTTTGTGCTTATTTCTATTCTCTCGTGGTTTTTAGGTGACAAGAAAAAGTTGTTCAAGAATGGAAGCAAATCTGGAGTAGGTGTTATACAGAGCCACATTGGGCTTCAACTATTTTAATGTTTTAAGTTGCTTTCATTAGTTGGACGTCCAATGTATTTAAGCTTTAATTTTGCTTTGTAAATGAAATGTGTTTATGTTTTGTTTTAAACACGAAATTTTTTATCATTCTTTATTATTTATGTCTTTTATGTTTAAATTTTTACAAAGTCATCGCGACATGACAAAATCAAGTCGTGACAATAAGAGCTCTCTAACCCCTTTAAGTCGAGGCGACAAACTGAACTAGCCACATCATGGTTTACGTGACACAATCTTAATTAATCTTTCTCAAATTTAATCCTCTTAACGGGTATTGGGTATTTCTTATAGAAATACCAATTAATCTTTTTGAAGTTGATTCACCAAGGGACCTCCCAAAGAGAATTTGAGAGAAAGTAACTTTGGGAAGGACTTGAGCCGATCCCCTAGCACACCCGAACAAGTAAGTAATTACTTTGGTCTTTTCATAAGAATTACTTGAAGGAATCACCACTTGAAATTTGCCTGGAGAGTTAATATTTCTCATAGTTAAGGGAATAGGAAGAGATTAGACTAAGAATCATACTTGAATAGGAACGAAAAAAAAAAAATGGAAAGAACCTAAAATGGACGTTTTAATTGGGATTTACCTATTAAGACCCAATACGAAGTAATTTAAGGAAATAACCCTCTTAATGACATCCCATTACTGAAATTTTAAATTATCACCTAATATCATGGAAAAATATTACCTGATGAATTGAAAGAGTATAAGAGCACCTTTAGGACATAAACCAATTATCGGGGTAAAATGACCAAAATATCTATACTATGCCTTTAGGATGTTTCATGGTTTAAATGGATCCTAAATGACTTGAAATTTTATGAAACCTATTTTTAAGTATATAAATGATTGTGCAATCATAAAACCATGTTTAAGTCATGAATCAAGGTTAAAGTAGAAAATGACAAAAATGTCCTCAATGAACACAATAAACATTCTAAGCATGAATTTATAAAGGGTTGATGAGATGAGGGTGTCTTTTAAGTTTTTTTATAACAGACCCTTAGAGCTAGAACGATAAGCTTATGAACCATAATTTATGTGAGCCCAAATAGGTTGGTTTCCATAAATGCACCATCCAAGCCCCAAGTCCATTATGACATCCAGATTACTAGATACCACTCTATTCAGACTCTCTTATGCCCTATAAGTCAATCTTTACTTTTTGATATGTGATACATCATGATCATATATTTTTTTCACTTTGGTGAAATGGTCTGCCCAAATATCTTTGTAGGATGTTAGAACCCAAATCGTGTTGTGGGAAGGTAGAGAATGTCGTAGCAACTATAGGCAAAATTGGGATTATGGAACCCTTACTTTTCTTTCTGCTTTAAAAATGAAAAATATTTTAATGAGTCTTTTAAACACTTTACACCTGTACGTGGTAATTCATAGCACAACTCTAGTGAAAAGTAGGTTATTATTGTAGGGATGCAAGTAAAGCCGATGAACCTAATAAAACAGTCGATGATCGAAGAAGAAGAAGAAGTAAAGAAGATGTTAAACTATGGTAGATTTAATTTAGTTGGTTGACAAGAATTAGAAGAAGTTACATAAAAGAAATGAGAATAACGCTTAATTGGCACGCAACCAACACCCACCCTGCGCCTGAGCCGCATGCAACTACTCAATGTTTAATTGGCATGGGTGGTTCGTGGAATGAACAAATCCGCGCGTATTATACCTTTTGATTAGTGCAATATCATTATCTTATGATTTCTTTACTAACAATAAGCAAGTAGTCCGTTCCAATCGAATTAAGTTGGGGGGTTAATGTGAATCCAAACATTTTTAAAAACTAATTTTAGGGCATTTTTGACCAATTACCCAAACAAAATAGTCTCGACAGATTGGGTTCTTTCCTCTCCCAAAAAAGGAATTGAGAATCTGAGGCCAAAGGTCTCGCCTCTAAAAACCTAAAGCTCTACTGTCTCGCTCCTCATTGTGTTAGTTTATGTTCGAGTTTCATAGATATGGCTTCAGATGCTGGTTCGAAGGCGACTTCTGCTGCCGATTCCTACCTTGGAAGCGTCATAACTTTGACTTCCAAGAGTGAAATTAGATACGAAGGCGTTCTGTACAACATCAACACGGAAGAGTCGAGTATTGGACTGAGAAACGGTATTTTTTTACATTATTTTTTCCGCAGTCCTTCTCAAGATTTGGGGCTGTGTCGCTTTCCGCTTTTCTTTTTGGGTTATAACTTTCCTGATTTTGTCAATGCATGGACATTTCCATTTCTTTATGGTTAGAGAATGAGATTTTTTTTTTTATGAAATTTCGTTTTGGTTTCATAATAACGAGGCTTTGAGTAGGTAATTGAGGGTTAACATTTGTGGCTTGAACTGACCTTGATATCCGACAATGCACAAATTACCCTTGTTCTTAATTTTCTTTTTCTAGACAGTATTCTATTAGCCCAATAGCCTGGTCGAATGTAAAATGTTGTTTGTGCTTTATTTATGTGTAAATTTATCATTTATCGTACCACTGATTTAATCTTCTCTTTCCAAATGCTTTCTTGTTCTCGGTTGATTAGTGCGGGCCAGATTGTAAACCACGATTTTCTGTATCTTTGTTTGCGGGCAATATTTTGTTGTCTTTGCAAGAATTGAGTGTGAGTTATTATTACTTCCCTTGGGGAGTAGATTGTTCCTCATATAGGTCTTGAATTGGAATTCTTGAGAACCATGTACCACCAGAATGAAAATTTCTGGCATCTAAAAGGTTTTCTCTACTGTTTTCACACCTATACATCAAACACCAAGCTAATTTACTATTTATTTTATTTTATTTGGGGTAGTGAGATCCTTTGGAACAGAAGGAAGAAAGAAGGATGGTCCCCAAGTCCCTCCAAGCGATAAATTTTTTGAGTACATCTTATTCCGTGGGAGTGATATCAAGGTATCAAATGCATTGAAAATTATGTTTGATATGATACTTTGGTCCTCTAGTTTTGTCTTTTTTTTTTAAAGATGGGATCGGTAAATTCCCTGTTGTTTAGAGTGAATGGCAGATATCACGATTGGAGTTTCTGTCTCTTGCTGATTACCACTTGAATGTCCGATTATGTGGTACTTCTGTTTTGTGCATGCTTATTTATTTTGACGGATTTCTTACTGCTTTCATTTTTTCATTTTCTTTTGATATTGTATGCTGAAGAGTCGAGATGGGACCTGGATTCATTTCCTTTCCAATGCTTTGATCAATAAGAAGCTCTTTTGTGCTCTTGGCAGGATTTGCAGGTTAAATGTTCTCCACCTGTTCAGCCGACAGCACCTATAAATAATGATCCAGCAATTATTCAAGTGCGTGTTTTTCTTTCTTAAAGAAGATTGTATTTTTTTTTTTTCTAATTTTTTAGTATATTAAGGCGTGTTAGCTTTTATTATGATTATTTTTATTTTCGAAAGGATGTTGGCCTTATTCTTATTTGTGGCTTATGCAGTCTCACTACCCCGCCTCAGTTTCCCCATCTACCAGCATGCATTCTGTTGCCAGTGGGTCACTACCTGATCATACTTCCCACACGGCATTTGGATTCCCTCCGTCTAATTTTCAAGGTGGTTTGCCTCCGTATCAACCTGGAGGCAACTTGGGGTCATGGGGAGCTTCTCCTCCGCCTCCTCCTAGTTCAGATGGCAGTGGACTTGCCATGCCCTTGTATTGGCAAGGGTA